GGGCACAGCTGCTGGGCCAGCACTGATCTGCCCCCAGCTTTGCACACAGACATTGCTGCTGCAGTTCCAGAGAAGGCAACAAAAGGGCATCTCTACAGGAAACTCTGCTGGGAGATCCTTTAGTTCATTTAAAGGCACTGAGAGCACAGCCCCTCATTGACACAGTCTGTGGCCACAGGGAAGATGGAGAGAAATGAAATGAGAAATGGCACAAACAATGACATGTATTTGTGGAAAACATTAAAAAACTAAAACAAGGAAGAAATACCCCACAAGCAAACAAACAGAAAGTATTAAAAATTACTTTATTACAGTGATTTGGAGAAACTGGCAAGCAGTTTAATGTTCCTGAAACAATCCAGTCATCAGTCTCCACACTGCAGCCTTGAGCTCCTGGTTCCTCAGGCAGTAGATGAGGGGATTCAGGGCTGGAGGCACCACTGAGTACAGAACTGACAGGGCCAGATCCATGGATGGGGAGGACATGGAGCGGGGCTTCAATTGAGCAAATATGCCTGTGGTGATGAACATGGATAGCACAGCCAGGTGAGGGAGGCAGGTGGAAAAGGCTTTGTGTCGTTCCTGCTCAGAGGGGATCCTCAGCACAGCCCTGAAGATCTGCACATAAGAGAAAACAATGAACACAAAACAACCAAACACCAAAAAAGTACTAACACCGAGAAGCCCCAGTTCCCTGAGGTAGGATGTGGAGCAGGAGAGCTTGAGGATCTGTGGGATTTCACAGAAGAACTGGCCCAGTTCATTGCCATGGCACAGGGGCAGGGAAAATGTATTGGCTGTGTGCAGCAGAGCATTGAGAAAGGCACTGGCCCAGGCAGCTGCTGCCATGTGGGCACAAGCTCTGCTGCCCAGGAGGGTCCTGTAGTGCAGAGGATTGCAGATGGACACGTAGCGGTCGTAGCACATGATGGTCAGGAGGGAAAGCTCTGCTGATAGGAAGAAGAAAACCAGAAATAGCTGAGCAGCACATCCTGTGTAGGAGATGTTCTTGGTGTCCCAGAGGGAATTGTGCATGGCTTTGGGGACAGTGGTGCANAAGGAGGCTCCCTGGCTGCCCTGCTCCCCTCTGGCTCAGGTGCTGAGAGCTCTGCAGCCCCTGCTGCCATCCCATCTGCCCAGGGCAGCACAAGAGCCCCAGCCTTGGGGCCCTCAAGAGGTGCTCCTGCTCCAGGCCCAGGGCCCATCCCAAAGCTGGGGCAGCCACAAAGCTGTATTTCAGTTCATTGCTGCTCTGATGGGGATGGATCCTCAGCCACCTGGAGGTTGCTGATAAATTTTACTACTCAAGAGGCCTCTTTTTTCTTCAGCTCTTCAGTTCAGGAATTCAGTGACAAACGCTCATAAATATTTGTCCAAAACAACTGAACAAGAAAAGCTCCTAGGAATAATTTGTTTTCAATTGTCCTATGGTTAGTTAGGAACATTTCAGAAGTATATTGAAAATCAATATACGGTATTAAAAACAATGCAGAAAGAATTGTTTTGTCCTCTTTTCTTTTCTTGTTTATACATAGATTACCAGCAATGTCCAATTGATACTGATCCCCAGCACCTTCTAATGCAGTCTGAATAGATATGAAAAACAAGACCCTTCATGGCTGACAATCAATTGCACTTTTTCTCCACCCCTCACCACCATTTTTCTCATCCAACCCCTGGCACTCTTATGGATCAGGAATGGTGTGGCCAGCAAGAGCAGGGCTGTGATTCTTCCCCTGTGCTCAGAACTGGTTGGGCAGAACCTCAAGTGCTGTGTCCAGTTCTGGGCCCCCAGTCCAGGAAGGACACGGAGGGGCTTGAGCATGTCCAGAGAAGGGCAACAAGGCTGGGGAGGCATCTGGAACACAAGTCCTGTGAAAGGTGGCTGAGGGAGCTGGGGACGTTTATCCTGGAGAAGAGGAGGCCCAAGGGAGACCTCATCACTCTCTACAACTCTCTGAGACAAGGGTGCAGCCAGATGGGGATTTGTCTCTTCTCCCAGGGAACAGTGAGAGGACAAGAGGACACAGCCTTCAGCTGAACCTGGGGACATTTAGGCTGGACATTAGGAAATATTCCTCACAGAAAGGGTGATTTGGCATTGGAATGGGCTGTCCAGAAAGATGCATGAGTCACCATCCCTGGAGGTGTTTAAGGAAAGACTGGATGTGGCACTCAGTGCCATGGTCTGGGTGACGAGGTTGTGTTGGGTCCCAGGTTGGACTTGATGATCTCTAAGGTCTTTTGCAGCCTGGTTGATTCTCTGATGGTTGTGACACTGCAGGGCCCTGGGGAAGCAAGGGGTCAGTGGGACACTGCAGGACCTGGTGGCACCAAGAGGACCATGGTGACACTGTGTATGACATGTCAGCACAGAGCCAAGGGGCCATTGTGACACTGTGAGGCTGAATGGAAACAAGGAGTCCATTGTGACAGTCTGGGTCCTGGTGGAACCACAGAGACCACTGTGACCCTGCGGGGCCTTGTGGAACCAAGGGGCCATTGTGCCACTGCAGAACCAAGGAGACCCTTGGGAGAGTCTAGGGACAATTGAATCAAGGGACCATTGCTCCATTGCAAGGACTCTGGGAACTGAGGGAACAATTGTGAAACTGTGGTGCCCCATGGAACCAAAGGTGCCTGGTGACACTGCAGGATCTTGTGTCACCAGGACCCCATTGTGACACTGCAGCACCAAGGAATTCATTGTGGCACTCTGAGGCCTCCTGGAGCCAAGTGGCCACTGTGACCCTGCAGGGTCATGTGGAACCATGCAGAGCATTGTGACAGAGCAGGACCTGGTGTCAGGATGGGGCCATTGTGACACTGCAGGGCCCCATGGAACCAAGGGGCCAGTGGTGCTCCTCAGGGACTCATGGAAAGAAGGAAACATGTTGGACACCATGGTGGCGGTTGGAACCAAGAGGCCATTGTGACACTGTGGAACCAAGGAGAGCATTGCTGCACTGCCCAACCTCCTGGAACCAAAGATCCATTGTGACACTGCAGGGCCCAAGATTCAAGGGACTTTGTGATGTTGGGGTCCCATGGAATCAAAGAGACAATGTGAAACTGGGAGGCCAATGTGACACTGGGAGGCCTCATGGAATCATGGAGACCATAGGGACACTCGGAGGATCATGGAACTGTGGTGACACCAAGTTGGCTGGGAGTGTTGATTTGCTGGAGGATAGGAGGGCTCTGCACAGGGACCTGGATAGGCTGGATCCAGGGCCAAAATCCAACAAGGTCAGGTTAAAAAGTCCAAGTGCCAGGTCCTGCACTTTGGCCACAACAACCCCTGCAGCACTACAGGCTGGGGACAGAGTGGCTGGACAGCAGCCAGGCAGAAAGGGACCTGCAGGGACTGATGGACAGCAGGCTGGACATGAGCCAGCAGTGTGTCCAGGTGGGCAAGAGGGTCAATGGTTCCTGGACTGGATCAGGAATGGTGTGGCCAGCAGGAGCAGGGCAGAGATGGATTGTTTGCAGGGACGGAACAGGGCTGGGCAACAGGAAGAAATTTGTAGTGGGAAGAGGAAAGAAAGCAAAGGTGAAGCAAAGGAAATGCTCAGGGCAGTTGGAAAATGGCTGCCAGGTGCCCCTGGCTCTGAGCAAAAGTGTCTGCAGTGGGACAGGAAACTCCCAGCTGATGGGAACAAACTTTCTGGCTGACTGCAGAGGCCAGGACAAAGCTGAATGGTTTCCCTGGTGACCCCCAGCCCATGCTGGCCCCAGGGGCTGATGGCATTTGTGCTCCCTCAGTTTCATATCCCGAGAGCAATAGCAATGGGCTGCTCATGGGGGTTTTCTGATCTGAGCATTGGCCTGGCCGTGTTCTTGAGAGAGCCTGGGCAAGGAGTCTGGAGCCCCCAGGCCTTGGCCTGAGGCGTCAGC